GGTCACTGGCCATTTGGTTATCTCTAGGTGTATTATAGTAACTCAAGGATCACTGGCCATTTGGGTAGCTCTAGGTATATTATAGTAGCCCAAGGGCCACTGGCTATTTGGGTATCTCTAGGTTTATTACAGTAACTCAAGGGTCACTGGCCATTTGGGTATCTCTAGGTGTATTATAGTAACTCGAGGATCACTAGTCATTTGGGTATCTCCCTGATGGAACAGATGCGACAGCCGTACACTGGTAGTATATTTTAAGATTACTTTTCAAAGGCGCTGTCATTCTTGAACTAAGACTACTCACCACTGTTGGACTCTGACCCCGTCTCCTTTGAAAGCAGTGGTATTTTACACTGGAAAACCTCTCTGGTGAACTGAAATATCAGTCACTCTCCCTATAGTCTTGCCCATCAGTTAACAACATCCCCATCTCCCCTGGGAACGCTGAAGCCAGCTCTTCTGAATAAACACCATGTGCTAGAGCTGAGGCAGGTTGTAATCATCATGTCTGGGGCTTGTACTCAAGGGACCATTTGCACACTTGTGTTTTGCTGTCATACACAATCGACTCATGGTATAAGAACTGTGGCACTATCAATCCCCCTTTTCTGAGGGACTTAGATGATGGCTTTCTCGGCTCAAAGGCTTTGTAGGAAGCCTGTTACAGCATAATTTACCTAGGAGTTGGAAGCAACCCCCCGATCTCTCAAACAGCTCTCCAGCCCTGGAAACTCCCGAGTGGGAACTGGAGAAAAGCTGGCCAGATGCTTCTGCCGCTTAGCTGGCCGGTTCTGCACCCAGGAGTCCTTTGTACTAAGGTTCACCATATTGGGAGTATCAGTAAAAGCCGTTCAGGTCACTGGTAGCATAGCACAAATAATTGGGCAGCCGTTACATGAGGATAAGGTTTGCTGAGACGGATGCCATCATTAGCAGTGGGCCTGATACTACTGCCTTTCCACTGGGGAATCCAGGCTCTTCTCGTATTCCTGGTGCTCGTCCGTGGGCCTCCTCTCCAAGTCAGAAATCACTCTGTGTGAGTAACGGAGGGCAATCTGGCTCTCTTACTTTGTATGGTGTTTACTTCTGGGAAGAAGAAAAAAGCTGCTCTATCAGTTGAGTTTTTAAGGAGAAACATTCATTCTGGTGGCACAAGAATTGAGATGTGGCTCCCACCTCGATATTGAGGACCGATCATCTTTAAATACATCGTTACAGCATCTCGAAGAGTCTGTGCAGGGGCAATTTAAAAGGCTGTTCTGGATGTAATGCTTCCTCTACCATTCTGGTCATCGGTGGTCGACTGATGGTGCTGGATTTGAAAACGTCATGACTTTTATCTAAGCTACTTGGGAAAGCAGGTATGGTCTGATGCATCTCTAGAAGTCTAGATGGTCTCAGCAAAATTCCCCTGGACTCCATGTGTGGTCACACGTGTTTGTCCTTTTAAGCATCCTGCTCAAATAAGATACGGAAAATCCTTGGACTTCCATCCAAGAAAGACATGGCCCTTCACTTGCTGTCCATATTGGCATTGGCTCCACAATGCATGCGTGCAAGTCCTTGCAAGACTGAGGCTTTACCATGGACAAATATAGTGCCATAAATAATAACAGGGTTCCCTCGCTACCCGGCTGTTGGACAACGCTTTGGCTGAGTCGGTACGTACTTCTGAACTGCAGATGCTATTGTTCCCCGTAAGGGTCCAAGAATACGAGTTTCCAATGTTGCATTTTTGCTTAAATCATATAGTTCGCCTGCACCATTGTCTTTGCACTGTAGTATTTGTCTGTGCTTTTAAATGACATTTCTGTGCATTACAGAGACTTCCCCCTGTTCGTTTCCCAAAATACCACATCACAACAGTCTCACCTGACCTGTAGATCACCCCTTGATGTGATGGCTTTTTTTTTCCCCCTCTAGAAGCGGCTGTGGTGGTGATAGCTGGGAAATTCAAGAAGAAAAATGTTTGAGATTTGGAACAAATTGCATGCAAACAAATGAGAAGAGGCTGCACATACTTGAAACATGTTGGATTCTGCTGCTGCTTTCATCTCTGTTCAGGGCATTCACCCCCTCCAATCTGGAGCCCCCATGTCATGCATTTTCTGTGGAAAGAAATCAGATCTCCCAGATGCTCTGCTTTATCCAAGCAGGAGTCGTAAGCAGAGCTTGTCACGCTCCTTCAGAGCCCGAGCACAATTGGAAAGATCACTGATGGGCAGAGATAAGATTTGGATGCATGGACCTGTTCCAAAAGGTGGAGGTGGTTGTTAACAAGAGTGAGATGAACTATGTAGACCCCCTTCTCCATCTTCTCCTTAGAAGAATTGTTATATGGGTGAAATCCCCATTCCCGGAGTGTTTTTTGTTAGCAGTTCTGACTGCAATTGTATTTTAAAATGGACCCAACAGAAGAGAGGGCAGTTTTGTAGCTAGATGCTTCACGGCTTCCTACTGCAGGATCGTGGGCTCCAAAGAGATTTAAAGAGAATGAGCCCATCTAGAATCAAAACCATCCTTTTATTTTATTTTTCTTCCATACAGAAAAGGAGAAAAACCTGGCATAATCTTATCCTTCTGGTGCTGCCTGGACCCCCACTGATTTAGTAGCTTCATTTTTATTTTCTGACTCCCAGCCCCAAGTGTACCACAGCAATGCTAGCTGAGTATCCAACACTGAGTTCTGCTCTTGATAGATGAGACCCTTATTGGCTTGGGATTTGGGGTCCTACAAGTGTCTTATTGCAGAATAGGACTCTTGGATGGTGGATGATTTCTTGCCAGGGGAGATGAGCCCAGACTAGAGCTTGCCATATTCAGAGGTGTAAAATGGATTCTCAACATGTCCTCCAAGCCGGCAAAAGAGGAGATTTCAATTTGCAGAAGAGAAGACCGAGGGGGATTTGATATCAGCCTTCACCTCCCTGCAGGGAGGTGCAAAGAGGATGGAGCTGGGCTGTTCTCAGTGGGGGCAGACGACAGGACAAGGAGCAATGGGCTCAAGCTGCAGCAAGGGAAGTTGAGGTTGGATATTAGGAAAAACTCTATCACCAAGATGGCAATAAAGCACTGGCACAGGCTACCCGGAGAAGTGGTGAGCTTTCCATCCTTGCAGGTTTTGAAGACCGGGCTAGACAAAGCCTTGGCTGGGATGATGTAGTTGGTGCTGGTCCTGCTTTGAGCAGGGGGTTGCACTAGATGTGACCTCCTGAGTTCCCTCCCAACCCTCATTTTCTATGATAAGCCATGACTTTCAAAACCAAACCTATTCCTATTACTGATTCATGCTAAAGTCAGGCTGGAAGGGACCTCTGGATGTCATTGAGTCCAACCCCCTGCCTGAGGCAGGATCATCCGTATCCAAACCATCCCATGCATGTCCTTATCTAACCTTTTCCTAAAACTACGGAGTCAAGCCCATTCCAACTCCAAGGGATATTGCCCAAAGACAGGAAAAGCACCCCAACCTGCCAGGTAAAGCAGGGGGTTGAGAGCTGACCGCTCCCCACCGCTGCAATGGTCCTTAAGAGATCCAAGGAAGTGAGTCGTGCCACCCCTCTGAAGAGGACAGCAAAACCTCCACGGTCTGTACTAATCGTACCAGGGAGTAAAATTGCTTCTTGATCCCAAATGCAGTGATCAGTCTGACCCTAAGCAGACGGGCAAGACCCTCAACCAGGAACCTATGTGTTTTGAGTGCCAACAGGAGCATTGGCCTATCCCAGTCTAAAATCTCCAGCCGTGGCTGCAGCCAGGTGCTTCTGAGGAAGGCAGAAAAAGCCCCCTGCCCCAGTAGCAATAGGAGGGGAAAGGTGAGGGAGGTGACGGATGCGGGGAATGTCTTGGGGCTCGAGGCTTTGTACATCGTCTGTCTTGGCTGCTGCAGTGAGCAGCACCTTGCAAATGCTGCAGCCACGTAGATCAATCGGAGATGCACAGTTAATGTTGGGCTCACGGCAACTAATGCAAGCTGCTCCCTGTGCTCACTCAAGCCCTGGGGCTTCATTTCTGGGAGCAGAGGAAGAGAGAGAGGGAGGGATAATCCTGCCATGGGCAGGGGGCTGAGCTAGATGACTTCTGTGGACCCTGGAGCCCTATTTTTTCTGTGAATTCCCCTTGGACAGTGGAGATTTCCCTTCTCTTGTGTTAGCTTCCTGGTGGCGGTTTCTAGCTATCTGGGCTAGGATGGGTGTGCATATCAGCAGAAGTGCCAGGTGACTAGGAGGTAACTCAATGTGGCTCTCGACCCCTCTGGTTTAGTTAGTCTACAAGGTGTACATCTACCCTGCCTCGTGCCTGACTCTAGACCGACACGGCTAACAACCTACCGCTGCCGTCTTGGGTAACCATGTCACTTGCCTACGTTGTTTGGGTGCTGCCAGGTCAGGTGGTTCATTGCCAAGCCCCAGCACCCAGCAGGACAGTTTATTCCCCCCCTTTTCCCTTTCTATAATGCAAATAGATCTTGGCAAAAGCCACGCTGCTGCTGCTCTCCAGTGGCCGGCAAGGTCCAGAGCCGGGCCTGAGCAAGGCTGCAGGTCTACGATCATTTCCTTCACCAGGGCCAGACACAGGCATGGACAAACCAGGTGGCCACTTGGGGCCCAGACAGAAAGGGTGCCCCAAAATGGTAATTTTTTCCCCATTGTCTGATTATTCATATTATCATTATCTCTGGCGAAGGAGGGTCTGATACTAAAAGTTCGCCCAGGGCTACCAGGAGTCTAGATACGGTGCTGTCCTGCACCGTGAGCAGTTGGTGGGAGAAAACCCTCCTCTCCATGGAGAGCTCCTAAGCGCGCTCTCCCCCGATGTCCTACGTCTGCCGATGGCGGGGAGCCTCTGAGAGGGAAATCTTGGGGGCCGGGGGATGGCCGGCGGGCCGAGCAGTTAGCCCATAGCACTGCGGCGATCTCTAAAGGGTGCCGTGCACTCTCAGGCCTCTCGTGCTGTACCTCCTACAAGTTTAGCTCGTCCCTCCCACTCCCTCCCAATGAACCGCTTCTGTCAGGGAGCCGGGAAAGGCGAGGGATAAGTGAAAGCTTTTTGCAGAGTAAGGCTACCACTCTGGCTCAGTGCCTCAGGCGGATGGTAGGGGTAGGGTACCAGGCGCCTTTAGCACTCACATGGACTTCTACCGAGGGCTCATCGTAGCCTGGGCACTCTGCCTTCTGCCAGGTAAGCTCCTTCTTCTTCCTAGCCTCTCCCGAGCTCGGGGGGCACAGAGCACAGCTTTGCCAGCGGGGAGAAAATCCTGGCTTTTGGTTATTTGAGCACCCAAGGGGAAAAAAACCCCAAACCCTAAAAATACTGGTTGAGAGAGGCAAGATTTAAGACGAGGATCAGTCATTTCATAGAAGTGCTGCAGCAACGTGGAAGGAAGAGTCCTCCAAAGGGGGAAGCGGGGGAGTAGAAAGGGATCAGACTCTTTTGATCAGTGGCTGAGGAATGACTAAAACTGAAGGAAGCGGGGAAAAATCCTCTGCTTTAAACCGCTTTGCAATTTCTCATCTGGATTGCAGTTGCATGGAGGATTCATCTGCATTTTTAAGGACTAAGCAGGGGGGGAAAGACTAGAAAGACTGGGAGTTGCCTGTTCCTTCGTCCTCTTCCCCAGGACAAAGGGGGAGGTGGGCACGAGGATGAGGACTGGGGATTAAAGTCACACCTTGGTGCAGAGATTTTAGATGCTCCTTTCATTTTAAGATGCAAGTCTGCAGGCTTCCCTCACATCTGGATCCCTGCGTGGCTGCATAAGCCGTGTTGGGTTACGGGAAGAGGGGGGAGAAGTCCTACTTATTGTTGGCCACATGCCTATACGTTTAAACTCGGTTGTTACAGGGAGCGAGTCCTCGGCAGCAGGCATTTTTTGGTTCAATTATATTTGACATCTTTCCATGCACAGCCCTCTCCCGGGGGCAGAAGGGACTGGGACTCTCTTCCGAGCCGCAGAACAAAAGGAGACCTTTCTCCCAGTTAATCGAAGGGGGCCGCTGTCACCGGCCCATTTACACCCATCAGCACGACGTTAAGAGCCAGGGATCGTTTGTGCCACTGTAAACATTTCCGAGCGTCCTGATGGAAAGTGAATTATTATTTTTTTCTTTTCTAATTGCACGACTACTTGATAATTTAAGGGAAGCCGCAGTGAAGTTGCCTGCCTCTGCCTAATGGGGACCATGTGTGCGCGCCTTAGAAAACATTACGTTTTGCAGGCAGACTTGCGGTGTGAGATTTAGCTGCTCGGGGGCAGATGGCACGCTGGTGTAAGAGATGCATTTCAGACTGTTTTCTCCATACCTCTGGGGAGAGGTGGATCAAGTTGCTCTGATCCTTGGGCACTAGGCAGTGTACTTTATGTGCGCGTGAAGACCCCCGGTGCTAGACTTGGGTCTGTTTTGTGGAGCATGGTGCATTTGGGTCTCTCTGCCTGGATGCCCAAGTATGAAACGTGAACCTAACTCTTCAGTCCTATGTGTGCTCCTGGGGCCACGATGCCACTTGATGGGGAGGGCAAACGCCTTCCCCGCAGACATGGTGTAGAGCATGAACCTTCTGCAAACAGCAGACAAAGAAGAATAACTAAAATGGCCCAGGGTGGTTAGATAAATACTCCTTGCGGTATTGCAGATCTGGCACCCTGTGCATCTCGTAGCTCCGAGATGCAGTCACTGTGAGCAACAGGGAGCTAGCAGTGGCCTCTTGCTATTTCTGAATAGCACCACATCGCTCTTTGTATCCTCGCCGCAAACACGGCTCTGCTTTAAATCCCAGCTGTGTTTTCGTGTAAGGCAGGCCGGGAGCACAGCTACAGGGCGGAACCAAATCGAAGTTCACTTCTTTGGAAATCATCCTTTTGCCCACACAGGAAGCCGTCCCATGACACAAGCATCCACTTGCGAACGTGATTTATGCCCTGGTGTGTGCATTGCTGTCATGTGGCAGAACAGAAAGAAAGCTGGGACCTCAAGGCAAGCTGTTGCATAAGGCATCCTTGGGCGTGTATCTTTGCACCAACTCATTTAACTCTTAAACAGCTTCAGTTAATAATTGTCCCATGTGAATGCAGGAAATTTAAACGGCAATCAGAAAGACACTAGGAAAGGCAATGGCCATTGCATCCATCCCTGACATACCTCCACTGCCTCCAGCAGAGCTGCCCCATGGACGAATTGGGCCCAGCACGTCTCTGTTTCACAGGTTTTCAAGTCACCTGCTTGAAAACGTGACGCTCCTTGTCTGTCTCCTGCCATGTGCTCCTTTAAGCTAAGAGAGGACTTCAGCGGGGGCATGTGTTGTCCTATTAGAAAGGAGTTGCTATGGTGATTACCCAATATTAACAAAAAAAAGTATTGAGCCAACAATGACAGATGTGAGCAGAGGAGGCAGGCAACATCCCTTCTTCAGCTGACTGCCTCTCTCCTAGAAAATGCCCCTTCCAGGGAACTCTGTGCTGCTTTGTACAGGGACAAAGGGTTTGGTATTTAATGACAGTCCAGCAAGGACCACTGCTTCACCCCTAGGTCCAGGCAAAGCTCATCTGAGCAGCATGAAGACAGCGGCACCCCCTCCTCAGATATTCTGAATAAAGAAATAGGTCAGATCCCATTTCCAGGACCAGGATTCAGCGCCTGTTGCTCACCGGCATTGTGGCTAAGGCTGTACAAATGGGCTTGGTGGAAATGGCTTTGTAAATCACTCTGCCTGCCAATCGCCGCCGGCTTTGGGGCTCTGAGTCAATAGATCATAGCATGGTGCATTGACAACACGAACTGGCAGGAAAGATGTGACTTGTAATAACTAGGGCAAGTTGTGTGAATCGCTGGCACTTCTGAAACAGGAAGAATTGTTTGGGAACCCTGCTTTTGCTGTTGCAAGCAAGGAAATGAAGGCAGTGGTGGTTGGCTGACTTGGTTTAAGAGTTGAGAAAGTTGTAAAAGGGTTGTCACTGCTCCATCCGGCGCGTTTGCGACTGCCTGGCTGGATCTGTGAGGAGTGCCCTGATGCAGGAGCTCACTGGGACGTGAGGAGTTGGGGCAGAAGTCGGGATATTAACACTGAAAAGAGATTTAATCAGGGTAGCGTTTCGAACTGGTGCTAACCTCCCTTGTCTTTGTGGCTAGCAATGTACTCGCATAAAGAAAGATCCCATCATGGACTTTGAAGGGCCAGGCTTTTTATGCCTGCCTCTACTGTAAAATGCCCGTCCTGGCCACGGGCTTCTTTTGCGAATATGCCTTCTTTGAACCCCTGGCTCTCATAATGCAGACATGTTTCTATGAGGGAGTGGGATAGACCCACCAAATTCGTTCTGCATCTGAATTGAGGACTCCCAAAGTTATAGGCCAACTAGTGTCTGTAGCTAGGGTTTGAATGGGCTGCGAGGATCAAACTAGAATACATTGGAGGTGGTCTAAGTTTCCATGAACAAACAAAATCTGCCATGACAAAAAAATGCATGTGTACAGACCAATGGTGATATTTTTCATCACTCTTCGTCCTGTGTACATGGTCCAATCGTGACATGTACAAGTGCCCCATGGCTTTATTTCACCAGGAAGAGCTCAGTCTATCTCCCTTTTTCCCACTGACCCTCTATCCCCTCCTCCCCCAGCCCAGTATCAGTTCATGTGTGGCTATATGGTCTTTTCTAACCAAGTCAATAAGGACCTGAACACACAGACAACAGAACTGTGCGGTCTGTGACCCAGTTGAGACATTGCCTTCAGTGTGGCTCTATCATGATTACCCTGACCACTATGGTCAGTGCTCCTCCTTCATCTGGGAACTGTGTTGGGGCCATCACAGAAACATGCTAGAGAGCAGCCAGGGACCGCTTCATGTTTTTGAGTCAGAGCTGCATGAGCTGATACAATGCCGACTGCGGAAGTGTGGTTAGGGCAGAGACCATTCAGATTCCTCCTTCGGTTGTCCCCCAGGAAGTTCAACCACTGCTACCCGACGTCAGGCTGCATGTAATTCCTCTCTGGTCAATACTGCCCATAAGGCCATAATCAGCACTGTGTCATGCATCTCCAGTGGTCCCCATCCTGGTCTCGCACACACTGAAATTCTGCCTGCCGATAAGCTGATGGGAGTTAGTCTAGAGCAAAATTTGGCTTAAGCTGGTTTGGAAAACCACAGAAACCTGCTTGCCACAGCCCTGTAGGTGGTATAGTTTGGGTTTTTGGGGTGCAGCATGGGACCCGGTCTGGCAAAAGGAATCCGTAGTAACTACAAAGTTGCAACGTTGGGATCCTGAGCAAGTATTTAATGTCTCCGCCAGTACTGTGGCAGCACAGTGCAAAGCTGGAATTCTCTATTTTTGTCACAACTAAGTTGTGTTTGAACCCTCAGAATGATATCTTCTCAGCCCTGCAGTATTAAAAAGAAAACAGGCTTTCTTCTGTTTCCTTTCTTTTGTCCAGGGCCAAACACCTATAAGGGAGACGTGCTTCTACAATTAACTCCTGTGATAGTTTTCTAGGGAGACAGCGGGTGAGCAGGAAGGTTACACAACATGAGTTTGGACCACACCGTCTTACATTTTCTCTTTCTTATCACCCTTTTTTTTATCTACACCCATATCAGCACATGCAAAAATCAAACGTTTTTCATCCCTAATCCCAGACATTGTGGGACCCTTCTGCTCCAGGCTGTGTTATGTCAGCTCCCAGCTTAGTGTGCCAATAACTTACACACTGGTCATAAGCCTGATGTAACCTTCCTTAAATCAAACACAGCTTGAATATCACCTTGCTGGTGGGAGACCTTGCGGATTCCCTGAATGATCTCCCTGGTATATGATCCACTGATGAACACCCTGGCTTCCCCCCACATTTATAGGGCAAATGACTTCTACCTCCACCTTTTTTTTGTGTCTGTACTATGTGATGCGATTTGGGGGCCTGTTTAGCTCTTGAAGACTTTAAGCATTTCATTGCATGGCTTTAATTTCTGTGAAGCTAAAAAGAAGGGAGAATTAGGTTTGCCAGTCTGAGCTCCTACACCTCACAGGCATTGACTTTCCCCCAGGGATGCTACCTTCACCTCAAAGGCTGTAGTTAGACCAAATACTCCAGTCCTCAGAAAACTAAGCGGTCTGTTGCTGGACTGAGGTATTAGCAAAGCCAGGCGCCCATACAGGAGCACAGAATGGCACGCCTTCCCAAATGCAG